AATGGAGGCGGGGGGGGGCTGGCCTGGCCCAGCCCCAAAGCAGAGGATTGAGTGGAGTGGCCCAGACCGGTCCTGAAATAGCAGTGGGGAAGGTGTGGAGAGGCAGGCCTGGCGTCAGCCCCAGAACGGCAGCTGGAAGAAGAGGGGAGCACACCGGGCACAGCCTGGCCCCAAAGTGGATGGTATGGGGGGAGGCACCGGGCCCAGCCCAGCCCAGAAACAGCAGTGTGGGGGAGGGCCTGGCCCCAAAATGGTGGCAGGGAGGTTGGGGAGAGGGGCGGGCTCAGCTCCACCACGAAGTAGGAGATAGGAGGAGCGGACCCTGCCCCAAAGGCGGTGGCGTCGCTGGACGCAGGCCTCTGTCCCCACGTGCACCCCCCAACCATCATTTTTGGTGGGCAGTTGGCTAGTATCTTAGATTTTCCTGTCTTAATTTCACCCCACTACCAGTGTTTATAATTCTCTTCTGGTATTATAAACTTTCAGAGCTGTCATGCTTAATTTCTAAGTCTCTTGGACAGGTTGAAAAATACATAAGTTGCTTGCAGTTAGAACTCTTTTTTTAATAAATATAAAACTAAACTTCACACTAATTCTCCAAAAAATAAAAGTAATATATGTAAGACCCTAGTAATAATAGTTAACTATTTTTATCTTGAAACAAGAAAAACCATGTAGATATTCTTAGTTTTGTTGAAGTATCATAACTACTTTTATTTTTCAGATATATTATTGTTGTCGAGCATGATCTAAGTGTATTAGATTATCTGTCTGACTTTATCTGCTGCCTGTATGGTGTGCCAAGTGCTTATGGTGTCGTCACTATGCCCTTCAGTGTAAGAGAAGGTAACTCTTTCTGACCCACGTTGCTCCTAATTGAAACCCAAATTCACAGCCCTGACCTAGTTCTAAGTCATACCTTTGTTACTCATTGTAATGATTGTTTCTTTTAAGACATTCCTGGAAGATGAGGTAAAGCAGGCAGTAGTAAAAGATGGCCACCATCATATAATAGGTTAGCGGTAAGAGCTCTTGACCATAGAATGAAATACTATTCAGTGCCCTTCTCATGCAAAAACAACTAAAGAGGGTACTTCAAAGTCACCAAACTATGGCTTTGAACAAAGGAAGATGTGTAAAAAAGCATACTGTTTTGAGCAAGAGAGACATTCATGCAAGAAGAGGGAGTTACTTACTGAAGACTGCCAGCTTCCTTGGGAGCAGAGCACCAGTACTTCAGCAAAGATAGAGCTCCAAAGTTGGGAAATATATTCACACTATGGAGCTCCTAAACAATGGAGGACAACCTTTTTGGCAGGCATGCCACAAATTAGTCCTGCAGCCTCCCTGAGTACAACTCCAGTCCCTTTCCCCTCCCCAATCTGCTACTCTTTCTTCTTTTTGCTCCCTGCCTCATCTGGTGCTGTTTTCTGCTTCCTGCCCTTTCTACCACCTGGCGAGTTGTCCTCTCCGTGCCATGTACACCATGTTCAGACAAGCACAGACATATGCTATGTGGCACTGCAGACCCATCTGTGGTGCCACACACTGCACATGCAGGTGTTCCCCGCGCTGCTTCCTTGCAGTGCAGGGGGGGTTTTGACCCCGGGAAATCATGAGGTTAAAACAAAAACACCAAAAAAAAAAGCAGGGTAGTGCATGTGGCGCCCAAAACTGGAGCCTGGCCGGCAGAGTTGTACTCCAGCTGCCACCCAGGCTCCCAGTTGCAAGAGTACCATGGCTGTAGCTCCACAGGACCCCAGATAAGGCTGCTGGTAAAGCAGCACAAGGTGTGCTGCTGCTACTTGTCCCTGGGGCAGCAAACATCTGTGCTCGTCTGTGCCATGCCACTTGTGGCATGTGTGCCACAGGTTGGCCATTCCTGCTATAGAGCATGGAGTTCAATTATTGTATGGTTTAGAAGCCCTGGATAGTATCCATCTTACTCTTTTCTCTCAAGAATTCATCCGCCAGTTATTTATGCCCTTTTACTGTTATTCCACAATAGTTTGCTTTCTCCTAGTCAGTGACACTATTCTAAAAAGTTTCCCTTTCTTTTGTATTTAAATCCTGCTAAGTGAAGAGAAATGGCAGTGGTTATACATTTTCAAAATGTATTCTCAGATTATTCTAATAAAGATTATAAAAAGATGCTTCTATCTAGCTGGGTGCATAAGGCCTAGTCCCCCTCAAACATATGGCATGTTAGATTTCACATTATGCAACAATGTCCTGTAAGACTTGGGAGTCTTGCTTATCATCCACCTTTTGGTTTATTTGGTATTGATAATAAAGTATTAAGAATCTGTGCACTTTTAGTCTTTTATACCCACTGTCACTAACATAGTTCATTTTTCTCATATAGGCATAAACATTTTCTTGGATGGTTACGTTCCAACAGAAAATCTAAGATTTCGAGATGCCTCTTTGGTTTTTAAAGTAGCTGAGACAGCTAATGAAGAAGAAGTTAAGAAGATGTGCATGTATAAATACCCAGGAATGAAAAAAAAGATGGGAGAGTTTGAACTCTCCATAGTTGCTGGAGAATTCACTGACTCTGAAATCATGGTGATGCTAGGAGAAAATGGTGAGTACCCTCTTTGAAAATTAATCTGGTATATTAGATGGGATTACAAAGGCTACCTTGGGGTATGGAAGGAAGGGTTCTAAGATGAGAATTGACTTGTTACTTTACAAAATGAGGTGCCAGACACTGTCAGCTTCAACTGGTAGTGGGGGCTGAGGGAACTCAGAATCTTGCAGGATCAGATCCTAAACTTTCCTGTGCATTAGGCAAACCAGCAGAAATTGTATGTTTATTTAAATAAGTATTTTAGTTAAAGGGGTTCTGAGCAGTACTAGCCTGAAAAATTCACTGTGGGAGGGGAAAAATACAACTAAATTTTTAAGTTTCTAGTTACACAATTGTCTTTCTCTAACCGATTTAGTATATTTTATCACAGCCTTGAATATAGACCTATTAGCCAGTCACAGTAAGACAAAGTGAACTTTTTTTATAAAGAATTTTAAAAATGGGAGTCATCAAAATGAACTGTATACAAGGAATGCAAGGGCCCCGGGTAATGTGGTGCAGGCTCCTACCCTGGGGGTTTTTAAGAGGAGGTTAGATGAACACCTTGCTGGGGTCGTTTGACCCCAGTACTCTTTCCTGCCATGGCAGGGGATCGGACTAGAAGATCTGCTCAGGTCTCTTCCGACCCTAGAAACTATGAAACTATGAAAATGGTGGTGTGTGCGCTAAGTTTTATTGCCTTGAATTCCTTCTAAAATGATCCGTAGTATTGTGGGGGGAGTTTAATTAGCAGATTGTAGATTGAATAGTGAATTAATACCTTGTTTTGCAATCTTTCGGTGTCCTCATGTAGGAATTATAACAGTTACATGGCAAAGTGACCTTGTGAAAGCGTTGTATTCTTCACTGGAATTTTAAAAATTGAAAATAACGAAGGGCTAGCACACTGACAGTCCGCAGACAACTGACTCAGCGCTTGCTGAATAAAATACAAAGCATTTCAAGAATTCTGTTTTTCAGAAATTTGTGCTCTTTACTTAAATAGTTATGTTACAGTTAAAAGTATTAACTGATCACTAGAGGCATCTATACACACGCTTCAGGATGGGGGTTGGGGGGCACTTTAAGAGCCACTTTAATTAAAGTGCCCACAGCATCACATGTATTCAGCATCCCTGCACTTCAGAGTGGCAGTGGGAGTGCTTTAACTAAGGCTCGTTCAATGAGCTTTAGTTAAAGCGCCCCACCACCATTTTGAAATGTGGGAACACTGAATACATGTGACATGGAGGCTGCTGGAGCACACTAATTGACATGCTCCAGCAGACTGGATTAATAGAGTCTGCTTCAATGCATGCTAATTAGCACATGTCAGAACAGAGGTCCGTCACATGTATATGTGCCCCAGACTTTCACATTAGTCAAGAATCTAAAGTTATTTATGTAATGTGACCTCTTGCTTTTAGGAACTGGCAAAACTACATTCATCAGAATGCTTGCAGGAAGGCTTACACCTGATGAAGGAGGTAATGCTTAATGTGTTAAACATGTTTTGAAAATGTTGATTTTGATGGCTACTGTTTTTTTGACTACTTTATTATGCCTTTATAGGGGAAGTTCCAGTCCTAAATGTCAGTTACAAGCCACAGAAAATCAGTCCAAAGTCCACAGTAAGCCTCTAGGGTTTTTTTGTTGTATATAAACTGTACGTATATATCATGTTCCCACATAACAAGATACAGAGAAAATTCTCGGAGTCTTGGAATTACTAGCTGTTCTTAATACCTTATTTTCTTTTTTTGCATTACAATTATAAATTACTGATGTAGCAGTTTTTCTGTTTGAACAGGGAAGTGTCCGTCAGCTACTTCATGAGAAGATTCGAGATGCCTACACACATCCACAATTTGTAACAGATGTAATGAAACCTCTTCAGATAGAAAACATTATTGATCAAGAGGTATTAATCCTGAAATGGTGTTTTAATACTATTGTTTTATGATTCTTACTAATACCTCAAATAAATATTGTTAAATATCATTTCTCCTAATAGGTGCAGACATTGTCTGGTGGTGAGTTGCAGCGTGTTGCATTGGCTCTCTGTCTTGGTAAGCCTGCTGATGTCTACTTAATTGATGAACCTTCAGCTTATTTGGACTCTGAACAGCGTCTGATGGCAGCTAGAGTTGTCAAACGGTAAAGTGTGAATGGAGAGAGTTTTTGAGACTGTCAGTAGCCTTTTTTTCTTTTCTTTTTTTTTTTTCTTCGTTTGAGAGAGATTCATGTATCTCAGATACTTTATTCTGTTTTCAGTTTTGTCCTCCACGCTAAAAAGACTGCTTTTGTGGTAGAGCATGACTTCATCATGGCTACCTATTTGGCTGACCGTGTCATTGTCTTTGATGGTATTCCATCCAAAACCACCGTTGCAAACAGGTAAGAGAATAATGTTATCTAGCTTTTCCCAGCAAGGTATTAAAGGACAATACATAGAAAGCATTGACAAAAATAATCTGTAAAGCATCCCCACCCAAAGCAATTTGGTCATCTGTACAGCAAACCAAAGTATGCTGCAATCTAAGCCATTATTCAAACAAGTGAAACCACAAGTGCCATTATTTTAAAAGCCCCTGGTGTTACTCACCTATGCTGTAACAACTCTAAACCTAACACACTTCTGGAAATAATTTTTCCAGATGTGTGTGTTAAAAGGTGGGAAATGGCGAGCTGTGTCTGTGAAAATAAAAGCAGAGTGACAAAATTTTGTATCCTGAACAAGCTTCTAAAGAGCAGAATTGGGTAGTTAAAATTTGGAGTTCTGACAAAAGCTGCAAATTAGTTCTTGTAAATAAATAGTCACCTAAAATAATATTATTTGGGGGGGGGGTTCACCCTTATACCAACAGCCTGGCTTGGAAATGAATTTATTTGGAGAACGTGCTTAAAAAATCCCTGTTGGAAGATGCGTTTTGTTTTTAAATCAGAACAAGGATGTAGCCTAAAATGAGGCAGATTAATACGTTCTGTTTTAGAGTGTGCAGTGGTGTTCTTCCTGTTGCTTTCTTCTAGCTTCATTAAGTTTTAAGACTTGAGCTATGGTAAGGTGGTGTTCAATTTTTTTTTCTTGGCTTTTAATGATAAAGGGGTCAACACAAATGAAGGGGAGATTTAACTACACAGAAATAATATTTTTATTAAAATGAACAGCACTGATACAGTTATCTGTTGACCCCTGAAATTGTTCAACTTGAGTATTTTAAATGTTTTGAGCTGATTAGGTAGTTAACACTTCTCCAGCATAAGACAAACTCAGATGACATTTCATCAGGGTCATATTAGATTTTTCTCTAAAACTGAAAGGCATAGACTCTAAGGTTTTCCTTTTTAAAAAGGTTCTGCAGAAACAGATGGGGCCAAAAAAGTGTTGCCCTGACAAAGATTGTTGACCACCAGACAACTAAAATTAGCTGAGTACACAGTTGGTCTGTGAGCCAGTTCTCTCTCTCAAAAGGTCTGGGACACATACTGCATATAATTTAAGTGACTTCTTTATAAATCTGTAAACGTGAGAATTTATTACACTTTTACTTGATCTATGAGAACCCTCCTAGTTTGTTTGTGCCCACAGCGGTGACCTCAACAACACTAAGACCTGCTTATGAGGACACACATTATACTGTATTGTAACAGTTGCATTGTAATAATTATGTAAAAGCAACTATCAGTCACCACACAAATAACTATGCTGATATACCCTAGTTCACTACTGTGGTGTGTGTACCAATTAGTTATGCCCTCAATAAATTCCTGTCAAACCTCCTTATCTTCTTGGAATATGTATCATTTAATTCATTGTCTTCCAGGAAGACAATGTAACTTGGAAGATCTTATAACTAGAGGTGCACCAATATACTGGTCCATATCATATCAGCACCAATAAAAGGAAAATTAACATTACTGGCCATCAGCTTTTTTTGGCCGAAGTGGCCGATAATGTCACTGATAAATGCCACGTGCGTGTGCATGGCCAGGAATGCAGCCTGGCAGCTTGGAGAACAGCGCCCATCTGATAAGTGTGGGGGTGGAGGAAGGGGCATGAGGGAGGTATGCAGATCGAGGCCTCCACCGTGAGGGAAGGAGTGGGGGCTGGAGTTGGGGCATGTGCTGCCTAGGTGGGACGGGGTGCAGGATGGAGCTGTGGGCAGTTTGCCCGGGGGCGGGGGTGGCTCCCACTGCTGCATGCACCCCTGGGGAGTTATGTAGGGTGAGGACAGGCTGCCTGCTGTGGGCTCGGGGGCTGTGCTGTCCTCTTCCCAGTCTGGGACCTGGACCAGGGCTGCACTTGGGGTGGGCACCAGCAGCGCTGGAAGGGGGAGCTAGAGTGGGGACTACAGTGGATTTTGGGGTGGCTGCAGTCCCCCACCCCCCATAGCCACCCCTCCCAGCACTGCCACTGTACCCCCAGAACACAGCCCTGGCCCTGCACCCCCCTGGGAAGAGGTTGGTACAGCCCCACAGCAGGCAGCTTGCTGTAACCCCACACGCATCCTGGGCGGCACATGCCCTATATGCCTCTGTGCACAGCAGCCAGGAGCCACCTCCCTCTCCCCTGGAGGAACTGCCCGCAGTTCTGCTTGACACCTCACCCTGGCCTCCCCCAACCCCACTCCCTTCCTCACCACAGGGGCCTCAATCTGCCTCTACCCCCATACTCCTTCCCTCCCCCACATAGACTTGCAGGCTCTCCAAGCTGCCAGGCTGCATATTGGCT